TATGCAAATGCCAAGACTATTTTATTGATTTCTACCCTTTCTTCCTCTCACCCCTGCCAGAGGTAATCACCCCGTCCTATGAATGTCCACAATACTTTATCTGCACAGTACCTTTCTAACATACTCTTACTTTGTACCTTTTAATATAATTAGTTACATACAGGCTATCTTCCTGCCTAGGTGGTAATGATTTGGGAGACTTAATCTATACTATATCACTTTTATATTATCCTTAATATCTACAACAGTACCTCCAAACAATATGTTAGATGATAACTACAACTTGCTTGATCTCTGCCCAGAACTGCAGTGTTGCAGTTAAACAACACAACTAAGTACAGTGGAATATGCCTCTAATCCCAGTGGCTTGGGAGGCTGAGGCAGGAGGATCACAAGTTCAAATTCAGCCTCAGCAACTTAGCAAGGCCCTAAACAACTCAATGAGACCCTGTCTCTAAATAAAATACAAAAAAGGGCTTGGGATGTGACTCAGTGATTAAATGCCCCTGGGTTCAATCCCTGGTAAAAAAAAAAAAAACTCCCTCACTGAGAGAAAAGGGTACCTCTGACAAATAAAGGGGAATTGATTTAGAATCCAAGAATCAGAAAGTTAAATGAAATTTAAAATTGTGTATTCTGTGCCATATATATATGAAAAAGTCAAGAGACTACTAAAAGTAATATGTTTTCAAAATAACAAATTCAAGGCTAACTTTTGAATTGATAAAATTCAGCACAATCTTCCACAACTTTCTATCCAAAATCCTCTATGACGATAACTGACATACATAATAATGACATCAAGGCAGGGTAATATTAAGTGACTTATGACCATTACAGATGAAATGCAGGACCACTTACATTAAAGGCAAAGTTGGTATTTACTACTAATATTGCAAATGTAATGAATAGCTGTATAAGTTCTGGAATGCAAAAAAAAAAAAAAAGGTTCTCTGCTTATCCCTGAACATTTTCCTGTTCCACTGATATTTAAAACTTCATCATTAATATTCATGTTTTTTACTTAAGAGTCTAAACCAGTGGTTCTCAACCCAAGTCATTTAGCATGAGGACATTTGGAAATGTCTGCATTTTTGGTGTCACAAATTGGGGGGTTGGGGAGAGCCAAGGGTTGTTACTGGCGTCTACTGAACATAAGCCAAGGATACTACTAAACATCATACAATACACAGGATAATACTCCACAACAAAGGATCACCCAGCCCAAACTATCAATAGTATCAAGATTGAGAAGTCCTGTTCTCAATTCTGCTAAAGTACAAAAGCATATGGTTTTTATTAATATAGACCTTAGCAAGTCTCCCATTTCAATCTACTCCAATCAGGCCTACCTTTCCTTGTACTCCTCTTCCATGTTGCTACATTCAACCATCCCTTACATCCCAATACAGTTTCTCAGCAACATCTGAACCATTTAGCTATTCACTCCCTCCTTAAAACATTCCTTTCTCCAGACTTCCTTAATATCTGTTTTCTGGTGTCTTTCTGCTTTAACTGGGCACACTTTCTTAGTCCATTTTGTTAATTCTTCATTGCTATTTGGAGATGTAATGACCTCTGTCTCTCCACCACCACCACCACCACCTTTCTTTCTTGGTACTGGGGAATGAATTCAGGGGTTCTTAATCACTGAGCCACATTTCCAGACCTTTTTTTTTTTTTTAATATATTTTATTTACAGACAAGGTCTCACTGACTTACTTAGGGCCTCACTAAGTTACTAAGGCTGTCTTTGAGCTCACAATCCTCCTGCTCAACCTCCCTTTGTCTTCCCTTCTTTATCCTCATTTTTCCCCTAGATGATCTCAGCTAGTACCATGGCTTTAACTACATTTACAGGCCAATAACCCTAAATTTAGAACTTCAGCCTGAACTTCCCCTCCCACTGAGTTTCAGAGTTATTTAACCAAATTGGATGTCTAACTGACGTGTACAACTTAATGTACCTAAAATTGATCCTTGATTCAGAAACTGTTATTATTATTAATGTATGTATAAATAAAGAGAAAATACATATCAGATAAATATTAACAACTGGGGAATCTAGGAGTTCATTACACAATTCTTATAGTTTTTATGTAAGTTTGAAATTATTTCATAATAAAAAGTAAAACAGAAACGCTGATTCCTACCAGAATGCATTCTGTTCTTTTATCAGTCTTCCCTCTTTCAGTAAGCTACACCAGTTGCTCATGAAACGATATCTAGACATCATCACTGATTCATCCCTGTAAAATCATATCACATCTAATCTACCAGCAAGTTCAAGATATTCTACCTGAAAAAAAAACACCAAATCAGACCACTCCTCCATCTCTACTGCTACCAGACTCCTGAATGATAAGTTTGCCCCATATTAGATTCCTAAGGCTGCTATAACAAATTGCCATAAACTGGATAGCTTAAAACAACGGAAATTGATTCTTTCATAGTTCTGGAAACTAGAAATCTGAAATCAAACTGTCATGCACAGAAATGCTCTCACATGTGCTCATGCACTGTCTCTGAAAGCTCTAGGGGACGTTCCTTCCTTGCCTCTTCCTGGTATGGTGGTTGCTAGCGATCCTGTTCCTTGGTTTATAGAAGGATCACTCCAACCTCTGCCTTCCCCTTCACACAGCATTCTCCCTGACTACATTTTTCTCATAAGGACACCAATCACTGGATTAGGGACCTCCCTATATCAGTATGACCACTTCTTAACTTGAATTACATCTCCATTATATCCTGTTTCCAAATAAGTTCACACAGAGGGTCTGTGGGTTAGGACTTCAACATATCTTTGTGGGGAACACAATTAAATCCACAAAACCCCTTATAATCAATTTTTAACACATCCTATATAGGTTTTCTTTCACATAACCCTACTTTCTCTGCTGCATTTATCTATGCCAGAAATCATTAAGTCTTCTTAATCATAAACTCCACTGAAAGCAGACTCAATCTCTATAGTCCCAGAGAGTAAAACAGACCATACAATTTTTTTCATTTTTATTAATCAAAAACACCTTTTTGCTTTCATGGTTTTAGGACTTCCTATCTCATTAAGCACCAAGCTCATTCAAATACTCCCCTAAATTTTCTATTTTTTTGTTGTTATTGTTATTCATTTAAATATTTATGAGCTGGGGATGTAGCTCAGTGGGTACAGCGCTTGCCTTGCATGTATAAGGCCCTGGGTTCAATCCCCAGCACCACCACAAAAAAAAAAAAAAAAAAAAATGTGCATTTAAACATTTAATCCAGGCTAGAGGCACAGCTCAGTGACACATCACTTGACTTGCACAAGGCCCTGGGTTTGATACCCAACACTCAAAAAAACAAATAAATAAATAAATACCTAATTCATTTGGAATTATTCTTTATACACTTTGTATATTTGAAAAATAGGTGTCACCTCAGGTGATTACAATGTAAAAAATCTACCACCCTATGAAGTTCTGATGTACTCAACATAAGCTCACATACTTCTCTCAGACATAAGCAGCCTTCTCTGAACTGACCCCCTCTTCCTCTATAGCACCAGTCTCCTGCTGCTGATTCCATCCTACTCACCCCTCTCTCACCAAAAAGCCCTAATGGACCATCTGGGCCAACTTATGCTTAAAATGCATTTCCCCATCTGCCTAACAAACTCCTATAAATTCTTAAAAACTCCAGTTGTATAGTCATCTCTCCTAGAAGGCCTTTCTAACCACCACAAGTTTTTCACTTTCTTTTTTTAATCTCTACCCCAACATCCTTATACTATATAATTTATAGTAGTACCTGCCTCATAAGGGTTATGACATAATACATAAAAAGTTCTTATTTAAGTACTTAGCACAGAGTAAATGCTTAAATAAAGATTAACTAATTTACTACTACCACACTAGTTTGCAATTATTTGTTCAATCTACCTTGCTGAACTGTGCCATTTTTACCAGTCTCAATGGTCTGACACACACACATTAGCATTAAGAAATGCTAAGCAGAGGCTGGGAAGTGGCTCAAGCGGTAGCGCGCTCGCCTGGCATGCGTGCGGCCCGGGTTCGATCCTCAGCACCACATACAAAAACAAAGATGTTGTGTCCGCCGATAACTAAAAAATAAATAAAAAATTTTTTTAAAAAAAAGAAATGCTAAGCAATTCAATGAACAACATTTGGATTCAGGAACAATAGAAGCTGCCTTTAATACTGTGGATTCCTCCTGTTAAAAGAAAATTTATAGAGATGAAAATGAACTACTCTTCCTCTTTTATTTGGCTTAAATTTGGTAAGAGAGCCATGCAGTCTTTAACAAATTTAGCAAGACAGTCTAGCTTCTCTCACTCTCCAGCCTGAGAATGATAAGTGGTCTATGACCAACACTGTACAACCTATTATGGTGGAGATTAAAACAGATAATGGCATTTTTTTAAGAGAGAGAGAAGAAACCAAGACATTTTGTCTAATTTCAGAATGAGTCTGGTGCGACTTAGCGCATAACTTCACATTCACCTGGCCCTGCCCCTTCCATAAAGAAATGTGTGAAACTTCCATGATAAAATAACATTTCAATCCTGGAATGGAGGAGCCCCAAGTGAGGTAAAAATGCAGGGGTTGCAATGTCTAGCTGCCTTCCCCCACCAGAGTCTCGGTCCATGCCAACTCTGGAGGACAGTGGTATTCTTGCCGTGGGGGACAGCAGGTTTTCTCACCCCAGGTTTCCCAAAACCGCCCTGCGCGGTCAGAAGCTACTAAGTACTGAGATGAACACATCGCACAGCAGAAGAGGCGGAGAGAAGGTGAGTATACAAATAGAAACGAAAAGCAAAGTGCAGATGACTGTGTCCCTCCCACTTCTCGTCGCTACCTAGAATTTTCTCATCTCCGGAACAGCACCCGTTTGGCTCTCACTCTTCCCGCACTCAAAATAGTGCGGGCCAAACCACCACCCACCCACTTGGAAAGTCGCGCAGGAGGCCAGAAGGAGAGGCCGGCGCCACTAAAACTCACCGGCTCGCCGTGCGGCCAATTCTTTGCTGGAAAGGCCGGTCTGAAACCAAGTCACCGGGAGTCGGATCCCCAAAGCCCACCGCATTCGAGCCCTACCACCAGGTTGCAGTTGCCGGAAACCACAGAAACGCAGCGGGCCTCCCGGCTTCCGTAGGCAGATGACTCCTTGGCCCCGGATGTTGATATGCCACCTGCCCCGGAAACAGTGGCGGGAGGCCCTGGGGGCGGAGGCGGCATTGCCTTGCTCTCCGGAAGGAGACGTGGCGGCGGTTAGGTCCCAGGCTCGCTGGACGCTTTGTAGTCCCGCCGCCTCCTCCTCCATCTCCTCCTCCTCCTCCTCTTCTCCTCTTTGGGCAGAGGAGGTTGTGGCGGCGGCTGGAGAAAGCGGCGGAGGATGGAGGAAGGAGGCGGCGGCGTGCGGAGTCTGGTCCCCGGAGGGCCAGTGTTACTGGTCCTCTGCGGCCTCCTGGAGGCGTCCGGCGGCGGCCGAGCGCTTCCCCAGCTCAGCGATGATATCCCTTTCCGAGTCAACTGGCCCGGCACCGAGTTCTCTCTGGTCAGTGTCGCGAATCCCGCAGCCATTTCGTCTTTCTGACGCTAAGGGTTAGACCCCATCCTTCGGTTTCCTTTGCTTTTTCCTTCCCAGAACCTTTTCTGCAAGCTCTTACCTTCCCTAAATCCAAGTTTCTTCTGCCCGGTGTTCATCCATCCATCCATTCATTCATTCAGGACGTTATGCGGAGGTGCCCTCCATGCTAACATTAGGATCCAGCAATCACTTGCTGTCCCTTTTTTAACCCTGCCGCAGTAGACCTTGCTTCCCTACATTCCCGCCTTGTGGAAGAAGCTTTCTTATAATCCCGTCAGGCATACTTCATCTTTCCTTTGGAGAACCAGTTGCAGCTCTTCCTTCAGCAGCAGCCTTCAGTATTACCACCCTAACGACACAACCCTACTGCAAACTCGAATTCCCTCTCCTTTTCGTTCTTCCTGTTTTGCTTCCACACCCAAACATACACAAATGCGCAGCTCCAGAGGAACCTTCTCCCTTAAAAGTTGTTTCCTAAAGAGGCCATGTGACTGTGAGATGTTAACAACCCTCTATGTGGAATACCTCTTGCAGTTTTACGACTGTTACTTAAGATCTCATGAGATTTTATGATGAATTTTCATACAGTGAAGCACATATTTATAATCCTACTAGAACGAAAATTCCTTTGGGGGCTAGTGGAAGGTCTTCCTGTTCACCTGTAGCTACTTAGGCTAATGAAACTTGTGCTCCTGTGATACTGTGTAGTAGTTAATTCTAACGTTTAAAAAAATCTTATTTCTAATTACCTGCAATCATTCAAGTTTGGAAACTGTTTTGTTATATGCCCTGTTACTGTTTCGTTGAGACATTATTAAGCGGTATCATAATACCAAAACAAGATTTACCAGGTTAAGAATTGGCAGTAGAGCTCAGTCAGAGCGTGCCTAGAATGCACAAGGCCCCAGGTTCGTTTAATCCCCAGCACCGGACAGGGAGACAGTATTTACAAGGCAAATATTATTCTAACCACTTAGCTTTCTACTTGCAAATATTCGCTTTTGCTTATACTGTATTTCACATTTGGTTTGTTTCTCCACCCTTCTGTTCCGTCCTGATAGCCCAATGATTCTCAAATTTACCTAGTAAATATTTAACTGAAAAGTCAGGTTTATTTTTGTATCAGTGCAATAAACTATTGATATTCAGTATTAAAAGACCTTTTTTAAAATTTTGTTATAAGTCAGATACAACCTTCGGAGGATTGGGATGAGAATACTCTAGTCCAGTCTGGGTTGTTTTTCCAAAAAGCACACTTGGAATGAAAGTGATAAATGTTTAAAAAAACAGTCATTAACTTTTTTTTACTCTTGCACCTGTGTTTAATTGAGAACAGCATGCACACTTATATGCAGATCTGAAAACTTACTGACCTATATACTGGATGACTAAATCTTAGAAGTTACTACCAAATTATCATTCAGTTTTTTTTCTGGCCCTGGTGTTTGCTGGCTAAAAAGGAGTTAAGGAAAAAGATCAGTCATAGTGTATGCTATACCAATGTTTCACATGTCTATCAACTTTATTTTGAAATTTTGTTTTTAATTACTTTTCTCTAGCAATGAGGTATAATCTAAGATGGACACATTTGAAGATTTGGGGTTAAGTCTGAGGTTTTTGAAAAAAAATAGTTATTCTTCTGTGGATGTGGCACAAGGTCTATGACCCTCGTGCAGAAATAAAGCTTAAGAGTCATTTTCATTGGTCTTTTTAAATTGTTTTAATACTTCTATTTAATTGAAACAACTGCCCTCCTCACCTGGCACTGCCATTTTTTTTTAATGGGCCAGTTGGTTGTATATTTATATATAACTAAGCAGCTGTATGAACTAGGGTAAGGTCCTTTGCCTCTCCACCATCTGAAATTGGAAGAGACTGGATTAGAAGTTGTTTTTTGTTTTGTTTTGTTTTGTTTTTTAGTTGTAGATGGACACAATACCTTTATTTTATTTATGTATTTTTTATGTGGTGCTGCAGATTGAACTCAGTGTGTCACATGTGCTAGGCAGGTGCTCTACCACTGAGCCACAACCCCAGCCCTAGAAGTTATTTCATTAATCTCTAAAATTCTCATCTGCTTTAAATTATCTTCCCATCCAGATATATCAAAATAAATGTTTTAGGGCTGGGGATGTGGCTCAAGCGGTAGCGCGCTCGCCTGGCAGGTGTACGGCCCGGGTTCGATCCTCAGCACCACATACAAACAGATGTTGTGTCCGCCAAAAACTAAAAAAAAATAAGTAAATATTAAAATTTAAAAAAAAATGTTTTATAATTCTTGCTTTTATATTTACTTAGAAATAGTATTAAGCACCAAAAAGGTATAATTTTTTTCATGTTTGTAATAACTAATAATTATGGTATTCTTTACTTACTAGTTTTTATCATCCACTTTTTGTGTATATATTTTTCTTCTGAAATTGTCATCTCTATGTCATTAAAGTATTCAATTTTTTATTATTTCATAGAATTCATGGATTTCATCAAATTGAACCACAAAATAAATCTAAGTTTCTACTTTTACTGTTTTTATGTATGTGTGTGTGTGTGAATAAAAGAATATATTCCTATTGAAAAACCTTCCCCAAGCACTAGCAAAAAATGTGAAAGTTCCTTTACTTTAAAGTACACCACTCTTTGATTCATTTCACCATATTAAAATTTGACTTTCTATTAAATCACTAGTAGATATTACCACTTACATTGAAATAATTTCTTTTAAGTTATATTTTAAAAAGTTTTATACTGTCTATAATGCTATACATTTCAAATTTTATTTATTTAGGTGTTAGGGATTGAACCTAGTGATGCTTTATCACTAAGCTACATCCCCAGTCCTTTTTTATTTTTTATTTTAATACACGGTCTTGCTAAATTGCTGAAGCTATCCCAGAACTTGCTATCCTCCTGCCTCAGCCTCCTGAGTCACTAGGATTATAGGCATGTGCCACTGCACCCAGCTATAAGGAGGCATATTAATAGTAGATCAAAAAATTCTTTTTAACTTAGAAAATCACAGGTTAGTTTTTTAGTTTTTTTTCCAGTAATTTCTATTACCAAAAAGTAGGGTGATACTAATTAAAAGTACACCTTGTGATCCGAATATATGACTCATTTCAGCAACGTGTTTTTGGGCAGAATTGCCATTTGGTCTATGTTACTGAAGAGAAAAATAGCCCTTCCTAAACTAATGAAAGATAAATTGTTGCATTAAGAAATGTCTTCCTGGGGCTGGGGCTCAGCCATAGCGCATTTGCCTGGCATATGAGAGGCACTGGGTTCGATTCTCAGCACCACATATAAATAAATTAAACAAAGGTCTATCAACAACTGAAATATATATAAAGAAAGAAATGCCTTTCTGGCACATGCCTGTAATCACAGCAACTCGGGAAGCTAAGGGAGGAGGAGTGCAATTTCGAAGCCAGCCTCAGCAACTTTGTGAGACCCTGTCTCAAAATAAGAAAAGGGCTAGGGATGTGGCTCAGTGGTTAAGTGCCCCTGGGTTCAATCCCTGGTACCAAAAAAAAAAAAAAAGGTCTTCCAAACCAGGCGCGGTGGAGCATGAGTCTCTAGTCCTAGAGATTCAGGAGGCTGAGGCAAGAGGATTGCAAATTTAGTCTCAGCAATTTAGCAAGACTCTGTCTCAAAAAAAAAAAAAAAAAAAAAAAAGGGTGCCAGCATGGTGGCACAATCCAATTAACTCTAGAAGCTGAGAAAAGAGGATAGCAAGTTTGCGACCAACCTCAGCAACTTAGTAAGGGCCTAAGCAACCTAGTGAGACCCTGTCTCAAAATTAAAAAGGACTGGGATGTAGTTCAGTGGTAAAGCACCCCTGGGTTCAATCTCCAGTACCATTCCCAATATCAAAATAATAAATAAAACAAAAAAGGCCAAGAATGGCTCAGCAGTACAGTGACCCAGGTTCAATCCCCAGTACTACAAAAACTAAAAGAATTGTCTTTCTTTGCTGGAGTTCCAAAAAAGCAGTTCTCTTTTCCATTATTAGCATTGTGATGAACATTTTAATAAGCTAGTCAATACTGCTGTAGAATTCAGCTGTGAAAATCAGAGTTGCAGGTACTTCACAAATAGACATGCATACATTTAAGTCACTGCTGTCCGCCTTCACTTCTGTATATGAATGATTTGACAAAACTCAGGCCATCCACTATGGAGTGAATGGAAAGCATGCTTTCCACAATTGATCATGTATTCTGGATACATCTGGAAAGCATCAAAAGACATTATAAACATTATGTCTTTTTTTTTTTTTTTTGGTACCAGGGATTGAACCCAGGAGCACTAAACCACTGAGCTAAATCCCCATCCCTTTTTTTGTATTTGAGACAGGGTCTCACTAAGTTGCTTAGGGCCTTGCTAAGTTGCTGAGGCTGGCTTTGAATTGACGATCCTTCTGCCTTAGCCTCCCAGGCCACTGGGATTACAGGTGTGCGCCAGGATTCCCAGCAAATATTATGTCTTAACAGCAAATTACTGGCCCAAATGAATATTTATGAGGATTCCTTCATCATAAATTTGGCTTTGCAACTCCTAATTTCCAATTTCTTTGATTCCATTATCTTCTAT